ATATACACCATTAAGCAGGATGGATAATTTTATGTTATCGTATGGGTTCATATCGCCTTCGTGATCTTCATGCTTGTTCTGTTATATTTATTATTTCCTACTTTTTTGATTCTATTTTCTCTTTGTTTCTATTTGTTCTTGTATCTTTTATTTGTTCTTATCTCTCTAGCTTTTGGGTTTGGTCATGGCATGATTTGTTCGATTTGTCTATTGTATGTTTTTTTCCACCGTGTCGCCAGAAGGCATTTCTGCACTGTTTGGCTCCATTTTTTATGTTGTCTTATTTTTTTTTTATGTCAGGGCTGTAGATCTTATCCGAGTAGCTGCGACTTATAAAAGATTGTTCCTGAAAGAAATTTTGTTCACATCTGTAAATTGCTTGTCAAGACTGTCGCTCACCCGCCCACAAATAACTCTAAAACAACATTCATGGGATCATGATATGAATTTTGTTTGGCTGGAGGTAGGGCATAATTATATGGAGACGTTTGTCTATTCTCTGAATTGCATCTAGACTATGTAGATATTGTTCAACATTTCTTGCTTGTTTGGGTTTAAAAACTGTAGAATGGATACAAGTAAGACTAATATATATATATATATAATGTTTCTGTAGACAACATAATGTGATGTCTTTTTTACTCACTATATTAAAAGGTAGAACAAAAAACCAGCCACACACACAATAAAGAGCTGGGTTTCCTTTTCTAGCAGATGGCTGCCATCTAGTGGCCATGTTGTGCTTTACTGTGACAAACTCGAAGCTGGTTTACAGCGTGTGTGGTGTGTGTGTGTGTGTGTGTGTGCATTGATTTTGGGCAGAAACATAAAGCAAAGCAACAAAAAACAGCCTGCAATTAAATAAAATACAGCTAAATAAAATAGAAATGAAATGAACAAAGACAAACAATGGTTCTCTTCTATTAATACAGCAAACAGTCCACCAATTCTTACATAATGTATCTAATTATTGAATTAAATACATTACTTAAGATTACATTTTACTTTATTTTGTTAGAATAATTTGGACCCTTGTGTAAATGTATATGTTATGAAGGTAGACACTCTTTACACAGACCTATCAATTAAAAACAACTGATAACTTATCATTCGTTGTTCATTATTTATCTGCACTGGCACTAACTTCTTAATGTGTTCAGGTGGTTATTTAACATAAATCAATGTGTATTTTCTCAATTAACACGTTTTCCTCCATCCTGCTCCTGTTCCTGGACGGGGTCGTGTGTGTAGATCTCAGGGGACTCCAGAGTTTAACCTTTGACCTCCAGTAAAGCGTAAGAGCGGTCTTTAGGGAGGATGTCGGGCTGACTCAGGAAGTGAAGGCAGGTGTCAGCTGCTGGTGTTAGAACTGGTGACACTGGACCCTTTACTGGCTGATCACTTCACTGAGCTGAACTTCAAAGTGAGACGGTTGTTGCATGTTCATCATAATTTTCACCTTATTAGAGTCAGTGTAAAAACACCTGTTATGTCAAGTTAAAGGTTAAGGATATTTAACATATGTATTTGTGTTCATTATATCAGCATATAGTATCATCTTTGTCAATCCTTTTCTTCTTTGTCCCATTCGAGATCCAACTCAAAAAATCATTGATATCTATTATATCAGTTTAGTTTTTAGGTAAAACTAACAAAATTTTGTAAGTTCTAACTTAATTGACAATGATTTAATTTTGTAATTTCTAATTGTACAAAAAAAACTACTAAAAAGTTCTTAATCAGGAAAGTTTCTTTAACTTATAAAACTAAGTTAGTGCCACTTAAAATTACTAGTAAAAGCTGCCTAATCAAGAATCTTTTTAACTTAAAAAACTGAGTTTATGTTACTTAAAATTTTCAATGTAATCTGTTTCAACAATTAGTTTTGAGTTAAAATAACTTATTGCATTACAGTGTATGTTAAGTCATATAATGGTAAAAAACAATTACCATCACCAGTTGTGAGAGTTCATGATGATGTCTCACATCTTCAAATATCTTGTTTTGTGCAACCAACAGTCCAAAACACCAAAGATTTTCACTTTACAAAGATAAAAAAGCTCAGAAAAGCAGCAAATCTTCACATTCGAGAAGCTGGAAACAAAATATTTGCTGTATTTGCTTTAATCTAACAACTATGATGACAACTAATCCGTTAATCAAGAAGTCGTTTCAGCCCTAAACTAAATATTGTACCTATCTAATCATGCAGTGCAAACATGTGTTTGTTGTTACATTACATCACATCCACTGACTGTAGTTTTCGGCAGGTCAACCGAGGCCTGAGTAAAAATGCCATTACACCATTCAACAAGTGTGATTTAATTACAGTTCCCTTTTTTTTTTCTTATTGTACGTTACAGCCAACACCCTAATAGAGAAGGAGAAGCAGGATTTACAATAACAAGTGCAAATCACTTGTAGGAGCTCAGACTTTTTGATACACATCCATCTGTACACATACATCAGCACAAATCAGAGAGGAAATACACAGACGTATCCTTTGATAACGGCTTTTCTGCATATGTTACATCCTGTATTTAACTAAACTCAGATTGAGAGAAAGACTCTGATTGATTACAAAGGAGATGTTGAACTAGTGTCCAAGGTAGTGAACCGGCTAACATTAAAAACACTTTGGCACAATCATACTGCACAGTCAGAAACATTTTTAGAATAAAACCTCATTCTTACAGTCCACGAGACATAAAAATTGCACCATTTTCAGAAGATATTAAAATCATGATTAGAAACAATGTGACAATAATACATATTTTTTCAGAAAATATGCATAAAACTTCAAAAAGATGTTTTTTTTTTTTTTTATCTAGTGTGACAGTCACGTTCATAACCATTTGCTTGAGTGGTTTAATTCTAAGTCAGTTTAAGTTCTTTTTTTTTTAAATCCATTACATACAATATGTAATGTAAGAGGGTCAGGAGCATATGTTGAGATTCAGACTTTCCTCTCTGAAATTCCTTTAAAAGACTTTGTACACTCTCAAATATAACAGCATTGTGTGAGGTCAGTTAAAATCTGAGGCGTGAACAAAACAATATTTTTGAAGACTTTCACTGACAGCATACATGAAAGGTGCAGTGTCTCTGACCGACAGTCCAGTACACTGGGACGTCGCCTGCGCTCAGTGTGTCAATGAGTTTCAGCTCTCGTCGCCGTTCTGCACCCTGCCGTCACCCAGCAGTCTCTCCCTTTCCCCCGGGCTGTTCTCCTCCTCCTCCTCTGTGCTCACCATCGCGGCGCAGCACGGTATCCTGGCCAGCAGGGGGCGGTGCAGTCCATTATAGAGCGCCGTACCCACCAGCAGGACCAGGAAGCCCAGCACCTGCAGGCCGTGAAACTGCTCCCAGCCCAGCGCCAAGCTCACCACCCAGATGACCAGCGTACGCAGGCTGTCCAGCACCATGCGGGTGGTGGCGCTGATCTCTTTAGTGACACTGATGCCGGCGAAGTTGAAGAAGGCGATGCTGACGGTGTTTCCCAGCAGAGCCAACAGGATGAGAGGCTGGTGGCCGATCTGACAGAAGGCGTCCAGGGCATCCTCCAGGACGTGGCGGGGGTTGTCGGCGAAGTCGCCAACGTGGATGAAATACATCGGGATGAGAAGCAGCGACAGGACGAAGAACCCAAAGAAACCTGGAAATAGGGAGAATTAATTAGGATTTATAACAACCTTTTTCACCACATGTGACCAGTTTTACCAAACAATGATCTACTTTGCTGTATTTGACTCATTTATTGAGTCCTGAATTAGTAAAACTCAAAAACACTCATTCATGAGACAAAAGTAAAGATTAGAGCAAAGTCTGAAAAAATCGCAGAAATATGTTTTTCCTGCTTTCTTTTGTTATTCTCACAAACCCTTAGATTTATCTTGTTACACTTCTCTCTGTGTGTGTGATAAGTCCTATGTCTTTATCACTCTCACTGACAGAGACGCCTTAAAGCTGCACTACTTGATCTTTTATGGTCACTGACACATTATTACCATATAAAGTGCAGTTGCAGTTTGTGTTTCTGGGCACTTAATGAATCTAACTCCAGAACAGAGTTAAATGAGAGGGAATGTTGGTTTCATTTAGCTGCTAAATCCTTTAAAATGTTCACTAGCTAGTCTCTAACTTTGTCCGTCTTCCACTTGGTGCTGAGCAGGAAGCGTACAGCTGTTTTCTTTAGAGCACTTTCACTAAACTCGGGTGCTTGATGTTGGTAGAACAATGATAAGAGTGCTGAGAGTGAACCAAAACAGTAAAGCTGCAACCTGTAAAACTAAAAGATAAAAAATGTCAGGAGATCTGTGTGTTGTTCATTTAAAATACTGATTAGTGCAGATTGAATCATCTAATTTATGAATTTAATAATCTTTAATTCATTTGGACAAAGTCTTTGTACAATGTGGAGAACGTTCCTGTGTTCGTCCCTCAGTACAACTCGTTAACACGCGAAAAGATATTCAAAACGCTACAATACTTTTTTATAGACTTCTGTATCTGTTAGAAAACAATGACAATGTTGGTTTTTTTGGACATTTGACCTTTGCCTCCCTATTATTTACTTGAGGGGGTACAAAATAAATCCACCCTCAGAGGTTCAACATCAATACCTAAGGAATTTTAGGTCAAAATGTTCCTGTTGGTGTCCTTCCATGAGTGTAAACTAAACACATAATACATGTAACTGCAGATGAACAACTGATGTACCTTCAGTACCAACAGCCCGAAGAGGATGGACATCATGTTTGTAGACAAACTTTTCCTCCAGGACCATCTGCACTGACACAATGATCTGGGCCATGATGATCAGAAGGTCTCCTGCAGGACAGACAGAAAGAGAGCAGTGATGTTTAATTTACCAATTGTAGTAGTTTCATTTCATACGGAGCTCGGGGTTAATAAGTAGCTAGTGTATCTATCTAGCGGCTGCTCCGTCGCTAACTGCTCCAGTGAGGACTGTCAGTCAAGTCAGCCAAACCTCTTTTGAACCAGATGGTGATACAACCTCCTCTACTGCCGTCCTCTGTGAGTGACTCCATGAGCAGGAAACACACTTTTACTGAGATCAGATGTTTTCACATCACTGGTGATAAAGAAAAAGCATTAAAACATGAGACTCATGTCTTTCCACCACAGGAACTGCTGATACAGGAGTTTAATGCGGCACCGATCTGGAAAAAAGATAGTCAACAAATAGTCGAACCTTCCTATTGAACAGCCTAATCTCGATTCGACTGACAAAATTCTGATTCAGGTACGGCCCTAACTGTATCATAAGTAAACATTCAACCAGATAATGACTACACATTATCAGTTGTACTTTTCTTGCTGTCCATTGATTACAGAGCTGGCAGCAGAAAATAAAGCACACCTGTGAGGATGTCACTGAGTTTGTGCTTGTCGTCTTTGTGTCCGCTGAAGAAGTCGGCGAGGCCCACTATCAGCAGGCCCAGAATGGTGATGAGGATGCCGATCCACTGACTTGGGGCCAGGCGTCGCCCCAGGAATGCCACAGAAAGCAGACCGGTGAAGATGATGACCGCTCCACGCAGCATCTGGAAGCTGGAAGCGCTGGTCATGTTGAGAGCTGGAAACGTTAAAAATAAAGGGGTTTAATAGAAACTGACACATTTTATTTACATGTAAACAAACTCATACTGCCTAATAAAGCTGAAAGGCAGTGGCCTGAGAAAAACAACATTATCTTTGACTACATTATCTCTTTTCCTGACAAAAGGATTCTTTAAACAGCAGATAATCTCTTCTGTTTGGCTGCAACAATGGGACTTAAGTCATTATATTTGACCTTTGAAGGGTGGAATAGATCACGACACAAGCTCTTAAAAGCTCAGGTACACCATGAGCACCATAAAAACAAAATATGAGCATTTTAAACAACTTTAGCCAAACCTGTGAGCAAAATATGTTTTCAGTTTTCTGAGCATTTAAAGAAGATAAAGATAAAAGTCACTTACCAACATACATGATGGAGGTGGCTGTCATGTCACACATGGCGGGTGGGAAGAAGAGGAGAGGGTTGAAGCTCTGGCCCGGGTTCATCTTGGGCTCCGGGCTACGTCTGTCATGACAAAGTAAGATGTAGAAGACTGCGAGACAGCTCAACTCGCCCAGGAACATACCGACCGCCTGGAGAGGTGGAGCGGGAGAAAGAGGGGAAACAGAACAAGTCAATTCTGATGCTTCGTCTCGTTTTCAGAAAGATCCTGACAAGTCAACAGCACTTTAAAACATATATTTGAATAATTATTTAAAGCAGCAACAAGGAACTTTCATATTGTGTTAATTCTGGCAGCCTCTGTGGATAGAAGTGTTTCCAGGCATTACAAATAACTATATAGAAGTAGCCAATGTTCTTGCTGAATGTCTTGTTAATGTAGGTCAAATAGAGGCATCAGTATTAAATTGAGTTAAAAACCTATTGTAGTACGTTTAAACAACTTGATTGCGTTATTTAAAATGCAAAGACATACATGTGCTTGTGGTCAACCGGGGATCAGGGCAGCTGTGTCAAAATGTTGATTTAAATCAGGAAGTATTTGATAAAAGAGCCAGTAAACATCAAGATACATGAAAGTGCTCTACAATGCTGCCACCTGCAGTTTATTACTTTACCTGTACAAATGGGTGAGAGAACGCATGATCAGGGTCATCGCGGCAGCCCTTCGCTGAGAACAAGTCAGCCCATCTGTCCGACAAGAAGACATTATTACAACTTAATTATGGATATTTTACAAAAACAAATATACATAGAAAACACCACGATGAGAGAGGGGGTGTTGTCAGACAGCTAGAGCAGCAAAGATTAGTCCAATTATTTTTATAATTGATTCGTTGTCATTTCCAAACTTTTGCTGGTTCCAAATTCTCAAATGTGGTGATTTGCTGCTTTTCTTAGTCACATTTAACAATCAACTAAATAAAATAAATAAAATGTGGATCAGACAAAACAAGCAATCTGAATACATCATTTTTACATTTTTCTGCTATTTTACCGACAAGTAACAGATTAATTGAGAAAAGAAAAGAGCACATTAGTTTATGATGAAAATAATTGTAAGTTTGCAACTTGACATATCACAACTCACAACTGCTGCACCCACTTTATTTGTTTCAGATTTCAGTGAAAGCTAAGTTGCTATAGAGCTGAGTTTTGTTGTGCACCAAACCTCTTTCATATTTTTGAATTATTTTAAATTACTCTGTAATTCATGTAAAATACTCTACAGTCGTACAATTTAATGAAGCCACTTGTGAAGTTAATGAGTACTTAGGCGCACATAATAAACCACTGACTTTTACAATCAGAGAGTAAGAGGAAGCGTGACTGGCATGTGAGCGTCGTGTCTGCATTAAAAAAATGAAAGACAAGGGAATGTGGATCCTTAAAGACGATGACACTGCACTTCCTTTAAATGCAGCGACTTCTGAGCTCATCAATACGAGACGGAAACTAGAGCTGGGCCTATTGACTGAATCAAACCTACCCTGTTTATTTGTGGTGACTGTTTTGGATTAAATACCTTCATATGTTGATATTTGCCTATGAAAGGAAAGAGGGAACTGTACAACCGGTAACTGATCTCAGCTGTAGGGCTTTAAAACCAGTGAGGCGGCGCTGCGGTGAAACCTTACCTGTTAGTTGCCGCTTTATACTCCTCTGAGCAACATGACACAGCTTGTTTTGTCGGATACATTAGCACTACAAAGTACACTCAAACTGTGATTCACAGGTTTTAAATTTGTTCTGCTGACAAAACCCACAAAAAGGACGGAGAAGTGTGTGACCGGCAGCAGAGAGCTGACATCACAGATTAATGGAGAAGTAAAAAAAAAAAAAAAAAGCTGAATTGAATTTCTGAAACCTCTTCATATCGTGACAATAATATATTAATAAATACCAAATATTCAAATGTGAAGATCTCTTCAGTTTCATGTAACTTTCCTTTTAAAATATTTGGGTTTTTAATCCGATTGTCGATCAAAACAAGCAATTTGAAGGCGTTTCTTGTGGCGTAGGAAGATGTAAAGGGGCATATTACACATGTTTTCATATGCTTTAAAGAATGAATGGGAAAATAATAGCAGATATATCAATATTTCAGGACTGAAATGATTAGTCAGTTGACTGATTTGTAGCCAATTTGTAATCAGTTAATTGCTTATCAGAGGGAATGCTACAGATTCACTGTTTGCTGCTTCTGTAAATTAGATATCTTTGGATTTTGGACTACTGGTTGGAGAAAACAAACCATCTGAACATCTAGGAAGTTAGATTATAATAATTCTGCATTACTTTCTCATGTTTTTACGATCAAATGATCCTGAAAAAGATGCCAGCTGCTGTATTTTAAGAAGGCTGAACTAGGCTATTAAATAAACCTCTGACAGAACACGAATGCCTCAGTCAGGTCCCATCAAACCACACAGATAACACAGGTAATTCATGATAACTTCATTATATATATATATACACACACACACACACTGTAACATCTGTTTATAGAGTATTTGCATCCCATCAACATTTTGCTTCATGGTTGCAGCCTTATCAAGGTTGTCATTAACATCCAAATGTCCTCACATGTAAATGAGCTGAACTGTAGTTTCTCATCACACCAGCAGCTTATCAACAATGTGTATTAGCCGCCAAAGCTAACGAGCTAACAAGCCACTAGAAACAACTACAACTGTATTAAATGCTAATACTCTGAAATAAAACAACTAATCAGCGACTGAGCTTTAATAATGAGTTATTTATTAGTATTAGTATGGTTAGCTAGCTTGCTACTAAGCACTACAGGTATTTTTTTTTTGTTAAATTGTTCTCCTCCAGTGACATTAACTATAAACACACCAGGGAATAAACACAATTCAATCTACTCACTTTGCCGATAATGTGTTGAGGGAGCCAGTTGTGAGCATCAGTCCCGCGAGGAACAGCTGGTATTTAGTCCAAGCCATGCTGGACGAGTGAGTGGGGCAAACAAAGCAGGCACAGTCGACCACCGGGCTGTTGTTTCGTTGAAAGGGACCTGGGTTGTTGTTGCTGCTCTGCCTGTAAACGCCACATGACAACTCAGAGTCAGCTGACCGCGCAGACGCTGCCTTCAGGTCCGGTCGGAAATGACGGAATCGACCAAATTCTACACGAATGTTTGCTCAGCAAATCCAGGCCTCTTCCCTATATGTGAAAAGAAAAGATCTTGATACGATACAGACAAGATATTTTAAGGCTTATTTGCAACCGTGGTGTTAATTTATATATCTTAAGCTCTATTTGCTCATCTGTCGTACCACCCCCTTTATAACTCTACATAGTTTGTAAAATATACAATGTTTAATCAGTTCTAACAATTAAAAAATGACAGAAACTCATTGACTATTCTCAGCTGAGGTACAAAGTTCATTCTTGATCTTGGAAACAGCAGCTGACACAAAAACATTGTCCATTCAGTAGGATACCAAATGTTCTGGGGCTTTGATCACCTCACATGATCTTCATCAGCAGATGACGTTTGCCCAGTTGCCATGGAGTCATGGATGTTCAATTAATTTTAATTCATTGTAATCGATTCCATTAAGGTCCATTAACTGCTGAAAGTGCTCAGAAAAAAAATGGAAATTTGAAGATGAACAATTCCATTTAAAACTGTTGACAAACTCAATCTGTTGACTGATATCATGATCAAAAGCTCCAGAATAGCAGCTAAATGGACATTGTGCTAAAATAATGTACTATTTGTGAAATTATGATTTGTTATTTGCAGATAATTGATTTATTTCGCAGACAAACTAACTAACTGACTGCAGACAAACTATTATGATGGCCTTGGATCACAACTAAGACTCAACCAGATCTGTACCTGGACCATAACTACATTAAATCCACCTTAAATAACCATATTCAGGGTTAAAACTGTTAATAACTGATGTGGGAAAACTGCAGTAATAGTGAGCTATTATATCTGCAGCCTGAGTGGAAAAGGTTTTATAAGTATTATTGCAGTAAAAATACTACAGTAGGTGTAACATGGTATTTCCAAATGCACAAATACAAATTATTAAAATTTCTGTAGATAAATACAGTAGGAGTTTAAGATGGGACCTTAAAGGCAGCAGGACATGCATCCTGGACAAACAGCAGAGGGAGTCAAAGACCAGATAGACCATCTTGGATTTTGAAAGTGGGACCACAGTAAATTTTCCCCTCTGTGGCCTCACATTGCTTATAATTAGAACATGCACTCCACTTTCCACGAGGATGCTGTCCCTTAACGCTTAAGAGGTCAAATTTAGGCTTTTCAAAACCTACAAATGAAAAGTGAAAGACAAAAAGTGCACTCAGGGATGTGTATTACAGGTTAATCCAAAATCTTGTTACCACACGAACCTGAAAAAAAGAAAATTAAACCGCAACACCTTTAATCCTCTGTGGCACAGCACACACAGAGCTGGAGGAAGGGAAAATATCATACGCAGAGTTTTCTTTGCTGAGGAAATGGGTTTATGAGCCATTGACCTTGTTTCACTCTGTGCTAAACAGGGTGCTAAACAGGATTCTTGGTGACTTCCCAAACTGTTGATGAGATCAAGAAGTGATCTGCTCAGTGACTCTTTGTGAAGTGTCTCATCTTTCCTCTCATTGCAGACAGCAGTAAAACCTCTTGGCTCCCGCCACTTAACATTTTAGCTATCATAACTCTGTTCAAGTGCTGTCATGAAGGTAAAAAAAAACTGGGACTGTCTTTCCTACGAACTGGGACGTACTTGGGAAGGAAAACACCTGGAAATTAGACTGGTTAAAGTGTTGGATGATTTACTGCAGCAGGACCAGTGAAACTTTTGCAGTTTATATCTTTTCAAGTAATGCAAAATGATGAAATCAAACTAAGTATATATTTTACTATAAAGCCCCACAGATGTTTCAGTTTCAGTCATTTTATTCCAGTAATGGTCGCCTGTCAATGGCATTATATTACCTTTGCATATGCGTCAGCGTTGTTGTTGTCTATCATAAATTGACTTGTTCTGAACCTTTTAGATTTTTTAACTATATTTTTTAACTGGATAACCGATTTTAGTCATCGGGCATTTGGATCTTTAGTTATCAGAGAAACAGGCCGAGCTAATGTTAGCAATAGCTCGTCTGACATGCCCTCTGCACAGCATTGGAGAAACACAGATTTTTAAGGTAAAACTGTTTTATTCAGTGTTTCTCATGATTTTAATCGCCTGGAAATTAGAGCCAATGATCTAGTGGCAGAAATTACATATTGTATGTTTAAGTTAGTCTACAGGCTTCATACTCTGGGCATGATATCTCTACCAAATTGGAAAATAGTTATGGTTTGGAAAGCCATCGATTGAATACAGCTTTCAGAAACACAAACGTCAACCTGCCTGTACTGCAAGAGGAAAAGATCATTAAAGTCATTAGGATACATCCTCTGGGGAACATGAAGATTATGATTGTTATGGCAACCCATAATGAGATGGTTCATCTGGACCAAAGTGGTGGGCCATCTATAGAAACAAATCTAAATGGTTTGTCCTTTAGGGTTAGTAAAATTTAATGTAAATTTAATCATATCATGAGCTATCACATGTACAAAGTTGAAAGTTTGACCTGAAGGTGGCATTAAAGAACCCAACGGTGTTAAAGAAGGACATCAAATTCAAAGGCAGTCTGGCCGGCAGATATCAAGATTTCTTCCACTGGACCATCCAAATCTGCAACAGCAGACTAAAGTAAGTAAAAGATCAGCTTCTATGTGCTACAATGACCATTTAATTCATGCACTGCAGGACATAAGCTGAACATAATCTACTGTGAACCTGTATTTCTTTAAATGGCCCTGCAAGAGTCACAACATCTGTGGCGGCCATGAAAAAAATATGAGTGCCCAGGAGCATTATCATTTCATGCTGAATGGCCTGGAAACATTTGATTGACAGCCTAACCTCCAGGGGTGTGAGGTTGGACCTGCGGGAGAGGAAAGGTGACGGGGGAGCACTTTATGTACACGCAGCTCATCTGAGGACACTGAAATGTCACATGGCAGCCGAGCAGACTGGTCACAGCTTGTTAAAGAGCTGCATGTCCACCTTTCTGCACTGTGGTTCAACAGTCCAAACCGAACAGAACACAGAATTATTCATGATCATCGCTCAGCAGCGCTCACCTGTGCATACACAGATATCACTGGTGACCCTGTGACTCCATGCTGTTATATAACATGTACATCTGCACTGTGCAGAGCAAAACGCAGGGCTGTTCAGATCAAAGATCACCTGCTGACAAATGTAATCAGTGACTTAAGGAGGCTTTAAATCTCTGCTATAATCTGATTATCTTTAATTACTTGTGACTGATCTTGAGTCTATATTTAGAGCTTGTTTCTTTATTGTAAAGATGGTGTGTTATATGGCAAAGAAAGCTATATACTATATATCACAAAATCACAAATTTTTATTCTTGCAATCCAAAAATACATAGCTATCTTTCAAATATAAGCAACGCAACTAAAAAGTATTTTATATGTATTTCATTGTAGTAGCTAGAAGTGCTGAGTTCATGCTTTTTTGTAACCCCTTCTAGTTATCGTTTATAAATAGCCTAGTTCACTGGTTCTCAAACTATGGTGCGTGTACCTCTACTGGAGCGCAGAGGAATCTCTGAAATAAACAACATTTTTAATTCAAAATGTGAGATCGCTGAAATGTATTATGTATGAAACTATAATGTTTTGCATTTCTTGTAATAGTAGTTAGTTTCAATATCGGCCTGCTTCACAGTCACCTTACGAGCTAAAATGTGATAGTTACAACTGGAAGAGAAGTGTGGACCAGAAGTTCCCCTTTTCCACCAAATCAGCTCTGGTTCTTGAACTGGTTCCATTCAAGATTTAACAGTCAACAATAAATAATCTTCTTATTAGGAATAAACCTGCCTCCTGTGTGAACTGTCCGTAACAGAACAGTGTCAGTCTATGTTACTGTATTTTAACGTCGGCTGCTATTGCTATTCCAATAACTGTTACCAGTTACCTTTGACATCTACAGCAGTATAATGACCTGGATGAGTGCGTTCACTCACTGACTTTGACGACCTGGGAATGAGACTCAACAATCAACTATCGTTCTCCAGAATGACTGACTTTGACCACCTTTAAATAGTTTTGTAATAACATGGCAGCAGTCCTGTTACACAAAATGATGAAGCTTGGTTGTTTGGGTACAGTTCCACTTATAAATTATTGAAAAAAGTTAGTGTCTAAACACTTCATTTGAAGGTTTATTGTTGCTTACTGTATGCAGTCCTGGCATTGGTTTAGCCTCTAACAAGCTGTTAAATTCTTCATACTGATTGCACCAGCTCTATAAATGAAGCAGTAATGGCACACTGGGGAGCAGATTGGCTTGTAAAGATTGAAAGCATTCAAACATCAGGAATTGACAAGCCCCTTCAAAATCAGCTGTCGCAATTGTCGCTGGTGTTAAGTGTGTCTGGTCAAATAAGGGTTAAAACACATGGCAGTTAAAGGGTCCCTGCAGACTTTTTGTCCTCTAGTAGCACTATGGGGACGTTTGTTTTTTATTAGTGGGTCCAGGTTTCTGATTGTGTCGTGCACACACACACACACACACACACACACAAGGATACATGCACCCGGCCGCAGGTACCTTTCTGAAACAGTGGCTTTAACCATAACTCTGTAGCTAAGCTACATCTTGCCAGACCTGTTGCATGACTTTTCCAGCCTCTGTAATCAACGTAATTGTTTTCTACCATATACAGTATTTACTGACTGGTCACCTTATCATGAACACCTCCACAGCAATACTACTGAAAGTCTCAACTACATTTTATTTTTGTGGTTCTGCATTTTATTTTACTGTACTCCCCCGTTCTGTTAGTGCCCATACATACAACACCACAAAACCCAACAAAACCTATTCATTTCCATTTCAAAAGACTAAAATCACAGTACCATGCAGATTAAATGCAGGTTTCTGGTTGATGATGACCTTGTAGCTTCAGGGTAGAGCAAAGATTTATGAGTGGAAAGAAGGCA